TATATATATATATAAAAGCCTCTTATTTGCTAGCGATATTAGTAATTATTTGTTACATTGACGAATTAATTTACAATCGTAATGAATCGATCGTTTTTTTTAACAAATATCATTTGTTCCTATAACAAAATCATTTCTCTCAGTGTACTCTTGAAAATGTTCCGATTTCGTTCAATTTCTATTACTTTTATTTCTTAAATATATCGTTAATGTGATATACAGAATAAAGATTCCCAATCATTTTCTTCAATATCTCTATTTATCAATTTTTAAGAAAATGAAAAGAATTACAAAAATTACAAAAATGCTAGTAAAATATAATTACAAATATACATAAAAAGGACTTCAAGGACTTTAGAGATAAACTTTAGGAAATAGTAACTTTCACCAAAAGAATCAACTTTTGTTAAGGAATCTGTCTTTTTCCCAACGAATTTATAAAAAAACTACATGTTCTTGCTTAAACTGTAAGATACACAATCAATCGCGCGGTAGCATTGTGACGTCTGACAATACTAATCCATATGTTTGCTTTTCTGTTAGTTTTTTGCAAAAACAAAATTAAAGGAAGTGAACTATCATTGTCAAATGCCATATACAACTGGATGCAAAACTCTTTAAAATGTATCGGAATTTAAAATGTATCGGAATGTACAGGTTTCTTAGTGAACTTTCTTCTCTTCTTTTAATGCTCTATCCTTTGAAATTTATCCTCGAGGGGTCTTGAAACACACTCTGTATTATATATTTTTAAAATATACTTTTATTGCGCATACGTATCCATTTATGTACAAATTTAATTTTTGTCTTCAAACGTTTTGTCTTTCCGCATTGCATGACATATAAAATAATTCTCACCGTCCAGAGTTGATTTATGTGAAGATTAGCAAATATAATGGCATAGAACATAATAAATGATAAATTTATGAAAAAACTTACTATGGAAATATTTTCACATTTAGGTAATCTAAAACGTATTTAAAATAAATTAAACGTATACATATAAATGGATGTACGTTCAGGATGAATGCTCTTTTATCAATTAATATTTCTCTTTTCCATTAGATGAAATAGTTGATGGAACGATAGTCATAAAAAGCATCACTCAAACTACGGGCGTAAACAGTAAAAACGGTATTGTCGATCAGCATTATTGGCGTTGGCATTCTCTGACAATTACCGAGTCTTTTGTCGGCGTAAAGTCGATTACATGAAAGCGCACGACTATAATTCAACCGGACGCGTTCGCGAAATTGCCGTTCAATTTGTACAGGAACGCCAAATTTATCGTGGTACCTTGTCCGTTGGTCTTTTCAACGTCGAACCTTTACCAGCCTATCAACCTACTTTGAAATATGTAGCAGTTTTGTCGAACAATAAAGCAATGCAAGCAAGAAATAAATATATCCATAACAGTAGTTATACCAACGATATTGAGTGATTAAATATTCGAACGATATGTATGGAATTTATAATTAATGCTAATTGAAATCGAATTGTTCGTTATTAATTAAGAATAATAAATGACAATCTTCCAATTACATTACATTTCTTTACTTATTTATTACGTTCTATTAAAATTGTTCGATTATTATTTATGTATCTATAATACGCTGAAACATTTTAAAATATCATTTATTTCATTCCATACAGAAAACAATTATAAAATTTATTATAATGGAATTAAATTAGTTAAGAATTTATATATAAAAATTTATATACTAAAAGTTGTCAATATTAACCCAAGTAGCAAAATGATGCCGAATGATGTTTTGACAGCGACTTTATAACATCAATAAAACGTCATTAAAATGACACCTTGCTACGTTTCGTAACGCCTAAACGTGTTTGTATACGATATTTTACATTCGTAAAATTTTGCTTTTAGAAGAACGAATCGAACTGAACAGTGCATTGAGATGCTGAGGAGATGCGTATCGCTGGATCCAGCATACGCACCGGCATTTAGAGTTCTAGCGAGAATCGCTACCGGTCCTGCAACAGGCGAGCTCCTGAGGCACGTAATTCATCTTCAACCACGAAACCCGGACGCTCTCGCTGAGTATGCTTACTGGTTATACAAGAACGGTGAGTTGCTAAATGAAATAAGCTTAGAGTAGCAAGTGGAAGACCTTCAAATTCCCGGGTAGGAGAAGCACTACTTGTCGACAAAAGTAGAACAATCTCGTCAGAGTTACCTGCAGTTACCAAGCAGTTCGCATGATCGCAACCCTAAATTTACACTCGCGGCACAAACTTGCTTCGTCTCTTTCAGGCAAATGGTTGCCCTCACTCCGATACTATTTCAAAGCGATGGAGATCTTTCCGTCGCACAAACCATCGCTTATTGGTACGCTCAGGATTTTGAGGTCGCGAGGTCAGTGGTCTAGAGTACACCAGCTCATCATCAGGTGAGCATTTACATTCTATGTGCATGTATTATATCGTTGAACATACAAAGTCACCATTACAAATTAGAAAATTGCCTCGACCTGCGCTATAGGGTTATTACGAGAATAATAAGAGAATATAATGAGAAACTCTATAATGTTATTATATGAGTACTCTATAAGATTACCTATTGAGAAGCCTGTACGAAAATAGTATCCATATAATGCTTTCTTCCACGTATCTAATCATTCGCACAACAAAAACGTTGAAATGGGTGAAAGAATCACATCAAAGCAATTTCCTCGGATTACTTAAAACAGCATCGAATATACACTCTGGAGAATATCGCCACAGTTCGGGTTGCGCAACGTAATGTCCGAATTTGTAATTTCCTCGGCAGCATTGCGAGATCGTGTACAAACACGGGCTTTTCCGCATGTTACGAATTCCGTGCATGCGACGAAGCGTGGCTCCGTTGCGCGGAAATCCTTTCAATTTCAGATGGGCTTTACAGCATTGCGCGAATCGAGCAGCGGGCTTATTCGCGCGGCAAGTACTCGGTACGTTAGCGCTCACGTCAATTTGCAATCAATGAACGAATTCAATTTTTTTCCAGCGATCTCTCTGAACTCGATCTTCGTTCTGCGCGGATTGATTAAAAATTCCACGTGATTTTCGCGAGAAGTATATATATCGAAGAATAAAATTAAAAAATTAAAAAAAAGAAGAAGAAAAAAAAAACGAAAATAGATTCGATACTGTCTCGATGGTCGAATTTGGCCGTTTATGTACGCGGCACACATCCACGTGCACACGTAGATTATACGATAACGGGCGCGCAAGCGGCTGGTCCCCATGTTTTCGCTGTGACTGCCATCACCCCATCGCCCATTTTTCCACCCTCACATTGTAATCCTCCCGCGTCCCGCTGTGTGCAAATAGCGCCTATAAAACACGCACGGTAAATTTGCCAGCGACGATTCGCGCTGTTTTTATAGTTGGTGTTCTCTCTCACTCTCACTCTCATTCACTTATCCTCTCTTTCTCTTTTTCTCTCTTTCTCTCTCTTTCTATTTCGACGGGCTTGCCAACAACGAAGTGCCGCGGTGGCGAATCGTCGTCCGAACGTATACGAATTTTGCAGTGCCAGAGATAGGCACGTAGGCGTGGCCTAGAGTATGTAGGAGCAATGCGGCGAAAGGGGGTTAAAATTTTGGAGAAACAACGCTCGGAGAGGCGCCGGCGGACAGGCGGTCGAGCAGCGAGAATCATTCTCTCCCTCTCTCTTTTCCTCTCTGTGTTGCTACCACACCAAAATTTCAATATGCATCGTTTGACAGATGTGGCGCATATCGCTCGGATTTTAAATGCAAATATAAATCTTCTCGCAGCCCGTAACGGAATGGTGGGGTGAAGGGCATCAAGTATACAGTTGTGTAGGATGGCTGAAGGAAAACAGAAAAACTTTAGACAGTCCATTTTATACGAGATCTAGATAATTATCATTTTTATGAGTTCTAAATAAATATAAAATAACAGAAAATAAATAATTGTTCTGCTATCTGCAGGAACTCGGATCAAATTGGACCAAAATCGGAACCGAAAATTGTTTTGAAACCCTTTTTTTTTAGTGAAATGAAATCAAAATAGTACCCAAATTTTGTATAAAAGTTTATAATATCGAAACCGTATAATATTGTAACTGAACCAGTAAAATTGTATGATATTTTTCAATTCTTTTTTCATTACTTAATCTTTGAATTTTAATCTTGTTCTTAAACTTTATTCTGCTCGTTCCTTCGCCCAAATCATCAATGTTCAATCCAATATCACCATCATCAGTTCTCTTAACAACTGGAATTCAAATATTATACCTCATATGATATAAGGAATCTGGCGAAATCGCGAGATATATTTAATGTAAGATACTAGCATTTTTTTTCAAATTTTTCACATTTTTTCACATTTTTTTTGCAAAAATTTATTCCAAATCATGCAATTCAAAAATACATATGTAGATTTTATGTAATAAATGAGATTTATCTATCTACATAAGAATAAAATAAGTTGTAAGAAAGGATTGAAAGAAATATATATTTGAAATAATATTTACATAATTTTTGTTCATAATCACGTGATCAGATTGACACTTTTTCTTTAACTTGTCTAGATTGAACGGGTGAACACTCTCTCTTTTTCTCTTTCTCCTTCCTCTCCCCCTCCCTCTCCTTAATAGAATAAATTTTAAGAATAAATAGAATAAAACGAGTAAGTAGAACAGAAAAAAATCATAATTTTTACCATTTCGGTTTTCTTTACTAGTAAAAAATTAATGAAATTGAAACTGGAACATTTATTTAATATTTTATTAAACCAGAACCAGAATCGAACCAAAAAAACCTTTTAGACCGGATCTCTGGCTATCTGTTATATTTATATTCATTAAAATTTCGTACAATGAGTTATTTTACACGTAAATTCGCAAATGTTATATATACATAATATAATCCAAAGTAATTTTTTCTTACAGGAACTATTTTATATTTAATATCCTTACTATTTGCGTTTTTTTTTCTTAGAGATCTCAGTGCCGATATTCTGTAATTCTTAACGATAATTCGTTACTGTTATATTATTGTTATTGCATAGCTTTTGTTATTATACGTGTACACAAAAATATAATACATACTTAGAATAACTATATGGATATTGTCGTTAAGAGCTACAGCATAAGGATCCAGATGAATAATTTGCGTTCTGTATATTTCTATTTAAAAAGGAATATATAAAACTATTATAAACTTATCATTTTATCGCACCATTGATTAATTCGCCGTGCATTTTATGGGAACACGATATTTTTAATCTATATATTATTGATAATGAACACACACACACACACACACACACACACACACACACACACACACACACACACACACACACACACATCAATAAAAACGAGAAATTCACATTTGTCGCTCGATGCATTCAATACCATATACATCTGCAGTTGTAGGAGAAATATATCATTCAGGATGTTCTTGTCCGTCAATATACGAGACGGAGTTTGAAAGGCATTTATTCAATCCGACAGTCACAAACAGCAGTACAGGGATCTTGTTTAATTATATTATTTCGAATGACATCAGTCATCAACGAGAAATGTGCCGCAAACTTTTTATAGAACGCGAGAGTGCTTCACGTTTCATTTATTTAAAGCCAAGCTGAGGCAAGTTCCCAATATTTCCGCTTTTCATTCCGTACGCGATGGTTGGATTAATTTCTCATAAATCGCCTGCGGTTTTCGTTGATTGGGTCACGGTTTCATTTGTGCCTCGCTCCGGGATACGCCGTTTCCGATCTGAAGTAATTAAGTGTCGCGATCGGCACGTAGCTCGATATCGAATATTTCGTTCCCGTTTGCTTTTATGGACGTACAATATGATATTGACATTGTCGAGAAAACCACCAACTGAACGTGTGACATATTACGATACGATACCCCATTTTGGAACGTTGCACTCTCTCTCTCTCTCTCTCTCTCTCTCTCTCTCTCTCTCCTCCAATTTTTTCTCTTTTCTTCTCTCTTCTCTTCTTCTCTTATCCTTTTTCACTTTCAAATAATTTAATAAAAATATATATTTGATGAAATATTTATGTAAGTTTTACAGATTTTTCTAATAACTTAGATAAGAGTGATCTACATTCCTACAATAAAACGTATTTAAAAACATGGATAATTTTTAATTATAGAATTGTAGGATGCCAAAGTTTTCTCAGATAATATACGCTTTTTTTATTTATATAGCATTTTATTTTATTTTAATGAAAAATTAAATTAATTTATTTTATATGGTAGAACATTTCAGATATAATAAAAGTTATATAATTTTCACATATGATTTATAATAACAGTAAGATTGAAAAAAAATGCTATATTATATTATCTCAGTTCTTATGAAATATGCTATATCTTATTCGATTCGAAGTCATCGAGATGGACCATAATTTCTTACGGAGATAAAATCTAATAGTTTCTGGACGCAATTTTCTCAATCATTGACAGTCTTTCCATTATATTGTCGTTAACAATGGAATTATATTCCACGGGATATTTATGCTTAAGGTGAAGATTATTGAAAATATGAATAACTCGATCGGATGCTACAATCATTTTTTCTTGTATTTTTTTGGTACACTTGTAATAACAAATGAATTAAAAAATATGAAAAAAGCGTTTTTATGAAAAGATACATAAGTTTATATTTAAATTTATTTATATCACGATATAAATATCTATTTATTTATTTTTACAGCTAATATTATAATTTATAATGATATGCATTATGTTAATTTGATAACAGGATAAACATTTTATTTGTACGCAAAAAATTGTATTTGCACAACTTGTAAATTAATGCATGAAAATTGAAAATGGATTTACTTTATATTGTAATTATTTATTTTATATACAGTACAGACAGTTTTTTACAGTCGAATTAAGCACGAATACTATTAAAACTATATCTAATGATCAATAGAGAAGTAACAATATAATAGCTATTGAAAATATCACTAGTTATTGTTTTGTTTTAGAAGCGCATTTTCTCCATGTGTTAAAATCGTTTGCTCATGGCATGTGAAGTCACCTGGTACAAATATTTTCTATTCAGTGCATATTCATTTCATTTAAAGAATTATATAAATGTTCAATTTCCAAAACATTTGGTTAAATTACTGTAAAATGCAAAGTCACGTGCAACGAGTGTCGAAAGTGTATGTTCATATGAAAATAATTTTGAAATATAGTCTCATTTATTGTTTAAATTTACTTATTTGCCTATCATTAAATTATGTCGATTCAAATAATTTGAAACTCGGAGTGCGCGTGGTATACGCATCGAGATAAATATTTATTGGCTCATTAATTAACATGTAAAGATCATAAAACTTTCATTGGACATAAACAAAATTATTTCGTAATTGTTATTTTAACTACTGTAAAACAAAATGAATATGTCCCAGTAGGTGAATCGTTTAATAGCGTCTAATAGCGTTTAAAATGAAGAAAAACATGAGAAGTTAGCCAACGATCGGATGGCTGACTACAGCAGAAGTTCATCGAGCTATTCTCGTTTTTTTTTTCTATCAGATATATAAATTTAAAGAAAACCCACGGCAGATAATGATACGGACGCAGTGACGTCATCGCCATTGCAGTGCTCAATGAACTGATAAATTGAGAGAATTTACCGATGCCTACCTATATTCTCGTAATTTTGATCAATAAAACGCAACGTGTATATTCGCGCAAATATTCCTTTTTATCTTTGAAGTCATAAACATGAGAGGAAAACGATGGTCTATATCACCAATTTCGCCGGCAATCGCAAACTGCAACGATTCATCGTTATGGTTGCGATCTCACGCAACTTTTAACAACAATTCGGATACGAGAAAGAAATGTGCGTGTGCCGCAATAATTTTAGATCAACCTTCGCCACTATCGTTTCCGGGATACAGGATGCGATATTACTCCAGTGTTCCGACTCGCGCGCGATCGCTCGCAGCCGACATGGTCTCTATCTTCCGCTGTAAATAGCGATTTTATAATTCATGGTATGCCGTGTTTCATCCGGTCTATCGGTGAACCACCGAACGGCCGATATGACCGGTGGTAGCCGCGCGTTACCACTTCGTTACAACCACAGTTGAATTAGAGTTTATTTCACACGAATGTCCGTACGAGATAGAAAGGCTCGCGGTTGGCTTTAACAATACTCACCGCAAAACTTTAATTCTGCAAAACTTTAATCCTTAAATCTTCGAGTAAAATCATAATAGTGGTATTTGCGTAGTACTATTCATTTTTGCTCACAGATCGATGCATAAGATGTTGTATATATCAATATTTGCAATATTTGTTATAAAAAAATAGATTTATTAAAATTGTAGATACTAGTTTCAATATTATGAAAGCTAACATTGATATCGTCATTTTTTGAACTTCTTTTATGAATATTTTTTTTATCTGCCGTTTTCCATTTTGATATTATTTAGACTGAATTGGTCATGTTGCTGCAACATGTATGTTGCAACAACATGACTATCTCCCAGTAGGACGTACGATCGATCACGAGCGATTTGAAACTGACCCGATGTGCTCGGAGACACGTGAGATTGCTAAGTCACGTTGCGATTACAGTCGGTTCGGACCAGCCGAACGTCAACGTTGTCGCTGGCGTGGGTCGATATCGGCATTGATACTGGATGAGGGGTGGAAGCTATTCGATATACATAGGCACGCGTTCGATTAACCGGTACGAAAACGCTGGTATTGTCAATGCTTCGAACCTGCTCTAACTGCGTCCGCGTAAATGTTACAGCCTTGATAACAATCAGGATTATTCGACTGACTGAATGTGCATCGGGACAATTCAGCGTTCACTTTGACATCAAGATTTATTCGCTTGCTTGAAAATTATTGAGTTACAATTATGCGATATATTGTGTCTGTGACGTACGTCGCATTAAAGCTACATTTTTCTACATTACGTGAATTGTAACCCGTAATATTCGCGGTGCAATCAGTTTGTTATACAAAAAGTATGTAGATTTCACACTTTTTTACGCGATAGAATCTTTAGATCGGTGATATCTCGGTACGTAACGAGTTACAGTGACAGATTATAATGAATCGTTCTTTTTGTGAACTATAATCAAGAGTAAACGGTTCTGAGATAAAGAGAATAAAGTAGAACGAAACTAGAGCTACGTTATATGTATAGATATTTTACGCGGAAATTATCGAATGTGAAATGCTATAATCAAGTTTATGAATCAAATATACAGGGTGTTTAGCGCAACTGTCCGCACGATTTTTTAAACACTTCTGACAGTTAAAAAAAAGATTGAAGGGTGAGACATTCATCTATTTTATATTGGCTACAACATGCGATAAAAAAATTTTAAAAATATTTTTTTCATAAGGAAATCAAAGTTATCTATATATCTAAATTTTTTAAATAACATCATACAATTTTTTTTCAATATTGTAGGAGTCTTCAAGACAAATTAAAATCATGGATTCAAATCAATTCATCGAAATATCACTTTTATTGATGTTTTATTGGATGTTTTATTGCATGTTTTTTATTAAATAAATAAATATATATAT